GGCCGAGGTGGAGAAGCAGGACAAGTACCTGCGGCAGAAGGGCCGGTTCCGCTTCCACATCATCCCCGACGGGAACTGCCTCTACCGCGCCGTCTGCAAGGCGGTGTACGGGGACCAGCGGCTGCACAGCGAGCTCCGCGAGCAGACCGTGCACTACATCGCCGACCACCTGGACCACTTCAGCCCCATCATCGAGGGCGACGTGGGGGAGTTCCTCATCGGCGCCGCCCAGGACGGGGCCTGGGCCGGCTACCCGGAGCTGCTGGCCATGGGGCAGATGCTGAACGTGAACATCCACCTCACCACGGGTGGCCGGCCCGAGAGTCCCACCGTTTCCACCATGGTTCACTACCTGGGGCCCGAGGACCCGACGCGGCCCAGTATCTGGCTGAGCTGGCTTAGCAATGGGCACTACGATGCAGTGCTGGACCGCGTGTGCCCCAACCCGGAGTACGAGGCGTGGTGCAGACAGACTCAGGTACAGCGCAGGCGGGATGAGGAGCTGGCCAAGTCCATGGCCGTGTCCTTGTCCAAGATGTACATCGAGCAGAATGCCTGCTCTTGAGACCACCTGGGCCGCAGGCTGGGAGCTTTGCTGCAGGGACTGAGACAGACAGAAGGTGTGCTGGCTGTGATGGTGATGCCTTAATCCTTAATGAAGCAGCAGCACCCCAGACGGAGAAGGACTGTAGATTGTGGGGGATAAATACAACCGTGTTTGTAATATTCTGTTGTAAAAACTTAGCCTCGGATTATTTGCAAGCAGATTCTCCGTGTATGTTTGTGTCTTCCCTCCCCATTGTCTCTCTATTTTCTATAAGAATGTATTTTTTGCACAATATTTTTAAACTGTTACCTCCATCTTCTACATCTTACATTATTATCTGGCTTTCAGCTGTACAGCCAAAAAACGTTTGTAAACACTTTTTGTAAATAAGGCTTATGATGTAACAGCTATTTTTTGCTGTGTTTTTTACCCATAAACCTTATATTTCTACCAAATGAAGTTGATGTCAAACTGACCCTCCCTAAGTGATGAAAGCATCGTGGGTATTTTCTTGCAAAACTAAAACAATGGTTTTTGTGAAAGTGCAGCAAAGTATGAACAGACTGTTTCTCAGAACAGTTGCTTTCTCTGCCTGGAGCACAGAACAGGTCCTTTGAGCCAGTTGGAATGCAACTACACATGAACAGTACAGGGAGCAATTGACTCTTCTGTATGTAATTACTATTTTGAGTAAACTGGCCTCTTGTTGCCTGGTTGGCTCGCCCTCTGCTCTGTTTATATTATTTATCTGTAATCACAGAACATTAACTTGCAATAGAATGTTGTGACTAGATAATAGTCTCCTGCTTTGGCAATAATTGCCTTGGCTGCACCTCGGTGTTTGTGTTCTTGTTTCTGGGGTTATGGTGTCTTTTGTATAAGCCCTGCTGCTTTTTTTGGCCCTGGTGTTGCACCAACAAATCATTATCTGATCACAACGTTTTATTCACTTGATGTTATTTTCTGATCAAGAAATCAGGAATGGTATTCTACACTATGGTTCAAAAGGAAAAAAACAAAGTATTTAAATTGAGGTTTGTACGGTTTGCTGGGTCAAACATTTAAATGTTTCCAATCTGAATTCTGTCTCTTCTACTTTCTGATTAACTTGTTAGATATATTTATTAAGTAATGCAGTTTGTACTTTTTTATTTTGTAATATATTGTGATTTTTGAATTTATACTGTATTTGTATAATAGGAATATTCACAGCTAAAATGGAATGAATAAAGAATATAATTTTACTTGTGCTCTTTTTTTCCACCCTTTGTGTTCGTGGTGCGGTGAAGAACTGCAGGTGCGTTCCCAAGACCCTTTATTTAGTTTCTCTGCCTTAGTTTCCCCAATTAAGAAATGGGAAGAAGGGGCATGGTTCTTTACCATCAGTGAACCACTGATGATTCTGGTGTCTGTGAATATGTGAAAGAAATGCAAGCATTTAAAGAAAATTGAATATCTGTAATTCTTTTGTAACTGTATGAGATCTTGGCATATCTCTTTGCCAATGAGAAACATTTTTGTATATTAATATGCCTTAGAAGAGGCGTTCTCAAGCATAGTACCTGGGCTGGTAATACCAGTGGTTGTGATGAACCAGCTCCCTGCTGGGCCGTGCACGCTTGGGCTTGGACTTGGGGCACTGGGAATCTCCAGCCTGCAGCCAGTCCCAAACTTATTGCCCTGTCACCAGTAATACATCTTGCACCCCTCTTGAGTAGAGGCAATGTCATAAGGAAATACAGCTTTTTGCTCCCCTTACAAGATGGAAATGCCATGCAAGCTGTTAAACAGTACTCTGTGTGTGCATGCATGCATTTCAAATCTACCCCCGATCTTTAAAAATACTAGAATGCCATCCTTAAATGACAGAAGGGTACTGGGTTAAAATTAGGATTAAAAATGAACTAAATAGCTGAAATGTAGCAGTCTTAATTGAGCACGCTTGTGATAAAGAGCTGCAGGATTGATTGTATATTTGGTACTGTTTTATGTGATGCAAAGAGTAGATAAAAATAATTTTTTTATGTTATTTCCAAAATATTGGTAATTGCAGACTATGTTTTCCCCCGTTTTCTTCACACACAGTCATGCTTTTTCTTTAAAGGTCAAATAATGGTGGTAAACAGTCTTGCTAGTCCACTACTGCTTAACTTCACTGAACCTCTGGAAAGCTGAGTTCTGAGGTGAGAGCAAGGCAAAGATGCAGACATGGATGTGTTCATGAGGGACAGAGATAGTTAATGAGGAAAATGGCTATTCAGGTGGCTGTAAGCACAAAAATACTAATACAGCATCACTAAATATCAGTGACGTGCTTAACTGTTTAAAAACTTTGTATCCAGGCTGCTTAGGTTTTGGGTTGGATATGTAAATTCATTCAAAGTTGTCAATATCCCAAACTTTTTTTTAAAAAAGATTTTCAGGTCTTTTAAAATTTGCATTTTCAGCTATATCATGAATTGTGATTACAAATTTTTCTGTTGTTTTGTGGCACAAACCCATAGAGTAAGTGAAACAAAGGACTGATATTACATAGTGTTCACTCTGTGAGATACAATTTATATTAAAATATCAACAAAAAAGTAGTGTTAAAAATGAACAGCACAGGACCCTGGGATAAGTTCCCACAGGATTCCTTAGCAATTTTGATGCTACTGCATGAGTCACAGGGGCATGCAGATAACTTTAAGGAATTTGAAAGAACGAGATTACTCCTTGAACTAGTTTGCAAAGACGCTGAGGATGTATTGCTGAAACATGTAACAAGGCAGTTGTCTGTGCAGCTTGCGTTACATACTGTGTCTGTTCTAAAAGGAAATGACAAAATGGCATGTCAGATGTTTCAGGCACGTGGAAAGTGAAAATGTTTTTTTATAGCTTTGGTGTTTAAAGTTCAGCTGAGATGCTGAGTTGGGATGCAAGCTAGTAGTGTCTTGCCTGAGTAGTAGTAGAGGCAGTTTTATGGAGTAGTTTTATAGAGGCAGTGATCCTAATATGGACAAAGCTTTGCAAAACTGCTTGTAACATTGTCACTTGCCCCCAGCAAAAGCACAGGTAGACACAAGTTTTCCCTTAGTGTCCCCTGTTCACCAATTCCAGTAATGAGGGGAGGACAAATGTCCTTGCTCATAATTTCACTACCCGATTATTTTAACCTTGGCTAATCACTTGCATAACCCAGCTAATCCTTAGACCTGTCTGGGGATTTTGGTCAAGAGACTCTTTACTATTGACAACAACAGAAGGAGAGCTTAATTTTCAGTGTTCGGTTGTGTGGTCCTTTAAGTCAGGTAGAAAATGCTTTAATTCTAAACTGAGCAAATGGGAACTCATCGACATGAAAATTTGCGATGCCATCTTCGCTTGTATTTTATGATACAATTGTGAATTAGCTGACGTGTCAGATGCTTCGTTTCAGGAGTTTCTTAGGTTGCCAAGACTATGTCATTCTGTCACTAAACGTGCAGTGGATCTTAGAATTTTCCTGTGTATTGAACAGACTCTGCCACACAAAGCAAGGTTTGCAAGAACTGAATTGGTTTGTATGTGCAATGGATGCATCCCAAAATAAGCGTGGTGGGCAAGTGGGAAAGGGAAGATTTGTGTGTCGTTGTTCTTCATCTCAGTCAATGTTTTTCTTTTCGGAAAGTTCAGTGGATGATTCTTTGTGCTTAGTAACTTACTTAGGATGCATAAAAGTTGTCTAATGCCAGCTACTGGGTTTATCTGTTCTGTTGTACTTGGCTGGTACATTACATATGTACAAGATGAATCTATTACATTAATGTCACTTGTAAATAAAGGTGTATTTCAGTACTACTTGTACACGTACAAACCCGCATGCATCCAAATGTTCCTTTGGTCTGCTTTTGCTTTTATTATCTCTGCATTAGTTGATGGGATTTTTGAGGATAAAATTCTAATTTTGGTTTTGTGTTGTGTCAGTGCGCACATACATGGCTTCTGAATCCAAGCAGAAAATGACGACAGGTATCTCACAACAGGGACAAGTACCTGGCATTAACCATTTTTTGCTTATTTTTTGCTTATACTCTTTCATACATATTTAACAGTTTATTGGTATGCATTGATAGGTGTTCCTAGGATGTTGGTGAAAAATGGTGCAAAATGAAAAAAGCCTCAGCTTTCTTGTCCCATTTCTGAATGGCATGGTTATATGAAAGTATGCAGCATGCAGAAAGGTTGTGAGTAACCCTCTAAGAGGACATCAGCTCTGCCAAATGCAATTCTGTAGTCATCAGGGCTTTTTTAAAGAAGCAGAAAAATTTAAACTTTGAAATTTTTAGTAATATACAGGCTCATTTATAACACCTATATGTGCATTTTAGTTGGAAAAAAAGTGGCTTTCATATTTCCTGTTCAGTTTTATAATCTGTCTTTTTTAAAAGCAAGTTTATAGTATTAATGGGTAGAAAGCCACAGCAATGCAGTAATATATTGTACTTCAGTCATTTTTTTCTGGACTTAGTGTTTAAAATCTTTTTTATCCAAGGAAACCCATTCATGGTATTCAGACTGCAAATCTATAGAATTAAAACACTGGCAAGTTCCACGTTTCTGTTGCACGACTGGTTCTTATTCTGTCTCTTCATACATTTGTCCTAATTACTGAATAAGATCAGGCTTCTCTGGAGAAAATGTGAGTGTGCAATTGTAGTAGCATGATGCATGTATACACATAGAACTAATCTTTCCTGTGTGATCCTTGCATTTTTAGTGTGTATTTTTAAACTATTATGCTTTTAATACTTGTTTTATTTCCTGCAGTTTTTGATGGAAGTTGTAGAAAATAAAATGGTGTGTTGTTCTTACGAAGCGTGGTTAATGGTGTTTGAACCTTCAGCACTGTAGCACAGTTAACCTGTGTAAAGAGTGGCATCTGCAGTGAAGAAGACTATTGTAGGAGGGGAGGGTAGCTGGGGAGAAAGCTGAAGCTGGGTGATGGTTGTGAAGGAGCCCAGATCGTCTTTCATCCTATCGTCTCCCGTGTTCACCCA